CGAAAATTTTACTCTAGAGAACTTTGATAAATTTTCGTTTTATTTTTTGATTTGGCTTTTTATTTATTTTGTTCTTTTTTTTGGGAAACAATATGCAAGGAACCTTCACAAAATTATTATCAATTTTGAAACAATAAAGAAGAAAAGGATGAAAAATATTATTTTTTGTATGAAATCCAAACAAAGAAAAAAAAAAGGTTTTATAAGAATTCGGGGGAAAAAAAACTAATGTTAAACCAAAACGCAAAATTCCGTTTCCATTTTCATTGTTATTGTAAAATAACTGAAAATAATTTTCATGTAAGTAAGGTAAAAAAAAGCAGTGTTTTTTTATTTATTTCCTTCTTTTCGTTTCCCTTCCATTTCCCTCCATGTAAACACAACATTTTGCACCTTCGTTAAAATATTCGAAAAAAAAAATTTTAAATAGGCTTGTGTTAAAATTGGTAAGCGGTTATTAGGTTGTTGGTTTAATGGTTAGTTGAAAATTAAAAAAAAAAAAATATAATTGTACATAAGGAAAAAAAAAATAAAAAAAGGTTTGCTTTTTTTTTTTAGAAAAGTAAAAAATAAACTTACCTGCGGATTGTAATCCAAAAATAATTGAAAAAATCCCAAAAGTGAGTAAATTTTTTAAATTCATTTTTGCTGGATTTTTGTTTTTTTTTTTTTTGTGAATTCGTTCCAAATGTTTCCTTTTGATATTCTTTTAATCTCTTTTAATTAAACATCTTTTTCCTTTTTAATATTGTTTTTTGTTTTCTTTTTTGGTATTCTTGGTATCTTTGGTATTTTCTGTTAAAGCAACGAAAAAAAATAAACACAACTTTTTCCTTATATTTTTATTTTATTCCTTGGGCTTATTGTTGTTTCAACACACTAGATAACCAACTTTTCCTAAAAATAAAAAAGAAGTAGAATAAAAATTTGGAATCTTCAAAAGAAAAGGATTAGCAGTTTTGTTTCTTTTTCTTTACTTTAAAATCTAATATTATTTAAAAAAAAAAACAAGTTGGAAAATACCTAAAAGATAAGTAAACCGTTTAAATAGTTAGCACGATGCCTGTTAAATTTTTTTCTTGAAAATAATTAAAATTATGTAAGAAATTTTAAGCAATATTATAAATTTTTTTTTTAATAAATACATACATACATAAATGGCCTTTAACCTTAATTTTTTACCTTTGATTTTTCAAAATTGATCCCTTACATGTTACATTTTACAAACGAGTTTCTTAATCAATTATTTCTAATTATACCCAAAAAGTTATAGGAATAAATTGCAACGGGTACTGGATGGGTACTGCACGGGATAAAGCCTTTGCAAATCCAAGTTGATCACGCAACATTTATATAGATTTTTATTTCATATTTAATTTAATCATAAAATAAATCTTTTTTTAATTTTTCAGCTATTTTTAATATAGATACATATGTTTGCACATATGTCCATAAATATATTAGAAAAAATTGGAAAAGATTCAGCAAAAAATAATTTTATAAAACTAATTTAATTAAAATTTAAATAAAAACTGAAAAAATTTTTGAAATATTCAAAAATTTTATTTTGAAATTCTAACTAGATCAAAAATTTATAAAATTATATTTTTTAAATTTTTTAAAAATTAAATAATTTTACGTTTATTCAATATAAATTTGAACGTTTGAGGTAGCTTGACTCTAAAGAAAGCAAAAGTTGATGTACCTATTTAAATCTTTACTGAATACAAATTTTAGGCAATTAGGCACTATAGAAAAGTTCAAAACATGTTTATTAGCTAAGAACATTTTTGAAATTAACAAGCAATATATTTATTGATTAAGTTAAAGTAAGTCTTCATAACAACCCGTCGGAATAAAATTTATAAATATGATAAATAAAGGTTGGTACTTACTCGTACATAAGAATTTAGCATAATCATTTATAAATTTAGAGGTGAACAGCTATACACAGTGAATCAATATTGCAAATACGTATTTAAAAGTATATTTATAATATTAAGATTACATATGATCTCTTATTAATTTATTTTTTAGAAATTTGTCATTATGTCTCACAGCAGTCTAATAATATTTCTAAATCCTTTACGTTAAACAACCACGATCAAGCTTTATAAAGATTAAAGTCATACTCAGATACAAATTTATACATAATCATTACAAAAAAAAAAAAATTACTTTAGAAAAAACTTTTAGCATTAACAATTTAAACGGATATGTGATATAAATGAAGTACAAAAATATTAAAACCTTAAAGTATAAAAATGTCCTTGGATTTACACACACTTACATGTTATAAAATGTATTTACTGTTTTCGTTTCATATTAATGGTACATATAAACATAATCAAATATAAAAATTCCAGATAAAAAGGATAAAACAACAACCGAGGATCCTTTAAGTAAATAAAAAGGGTGAAAATATTAACAGAAATTTTTAATTATATATTATTTACCTTTTTCATTTATTTATTTGGTTTATTTATGCATGTGTGTGTACTTATACACAATTATGTTTTCTGATGTTATAAAACTTTGAAAATTTAAATCCTTTATAAATTCTTTAATAAAATGGAATATATAATATCTCATTTTGAATCTGTGAGTCCAGATGATTTGAACATCACATTACGCAGATTTACATATACATTTTGTATACTAAATTCCTTTTTTAATCAATATTTTATTTGTAGCGTAGGTACCATGTTTTAATAACCTTGTAACAATTTTTAATAAATTTATTTTATGTTGTATGTTGCAAAAATTATGATGTTACAAAAATACTTTTTGGAAACTCTATTTGTAGGTGGGTAGGTAAGGATAGCTAATTTACAATTAGATTGCTAATTCTGTTTATAATTTAAAAAAAAAAACTGTTAAACTTCATCATTTCAACCTTGATAGACGTTCACTTGCTCAACATCAAATTAACTACATAAGTATATACATATGTACATATGTATGCTTGTGTGTATATTTGTTTCCGTCAATTTCTTTTACTTGGGCAAAAAAAGGCCAATTTCCTGACTAATTAAATAAGTTCAATTCAATTTTTTAAATCTTCAATATTTTCCTGGAAATTTTTAAATCTTTAATAAGTATACATATTTTTGTATATACATACATACATACATATATATTACAATCTAGTGATAAAAATTTTATGGCTTACACAAGAAAAACTGCGAATTTCTTCAGCTGCAATTCACACACAATTTTGCTTTCAATCTTGTTATTCTAAATCCTTTTTTTTATTGTTCAAGTCTACAAAGTTAGGAATTATAAAACCTTAACGATTTCTTAGACCGAAGCATCTCAACCACTTTTTCCAAAAAAAAAATGCACGCAATCATTATGAATTCAAAAATTAATATTTACAGTTATCTTAATAAAAAAAAATAAGCTTTGTCTTGTGGGCATGTTTTTGAACGAATTCTTATTTATTTATTTGACAACTTCATTTTAACATGTTGACGTTGTCAAAAATTAACTTAGTTAATGCAGCTATTATAAAACTAACCCCGAGTTTTATTATTCACTTCAATAAATTTCAAGTGAGTTATTTTTTATTTTCTTGTTAGGGAACCCTTAATGATTGTGTACCGCTTCTAATCAAAATATATAAAATTGTGGATATTAATTAACAAAAATTTATTAGTTCTTAAATACATTAAAATAATTCAATTTTACAAACTTCAGATTAAGAAAATGGTTGATATATTTGTCCACAGAGTGCTCTGACGGACAAAATTGCTATTGTGAATTACAATATTAGGCTATGAAATACCTAACCATTTGTTTGCAAACTTCGTTTATACTTGAGTATTTGACTTGAAATCATCACGAAACTCAAGTTGCGTTTTTACTACGTCAGCTTGTAAATAATGTTTAGTTATTATTGAACTCTTTGTTAACCTTTGAAGTTAAGTAAACAAAATTTTTTGATTGACTTGTATGAAGTCGGCTTCAAGTCAAGTAATGTACATGCCTGAAGCTGCCACAAAACGGGATAGTGATATTGGATTTATAATTATTACGTTACGTCTAATATTAAGAATTGTGATATAGCTGAAACACCTCTAATATTAAGCTAATATAGAGAATATCATATTATCGATATTACACGTCTGTGATTAGCATTTGTCTACATTCTTTTTCCGAGTTTGCAATTTAAATTTTTCACATTTGAATATAATCTTGCACCAAAATTGAATTGAAATTCAATAAATAAAATTTAGCAGAAATCTTATTTAAATTTTTTTTGTATATTTTATCGATAAATATATTTTATAAAATACCGATAAAAATTTTTGAAATAGGTTCTCAAGATTAAATGATAAAATGCTCTAATTTTTATTTTAAACAAATTTCTTAATAATTTCATTTTTTTTTTATTATTTAACAATATCTTCTTTAAAGTTTGTATCCTTCTTCCAACGAATATCTTATTTCCTTGGAAAAATTAAATATTTTCTTTTTAAAACTTTGGACTTTCAGTTTGAAACATTTAATATTTACATTCAATGTCAGAAAATTTTATCTAAGAAAAATACCATCCTAATGATTGAATGCTACAAAAATAAAAATGGTATAGTCGATTTCAAGGTCTTTCTAAAGAAATTCTATTCTCTAGGAAATTTTAACTTGTACAATAAAGATGAAAACTTTCTTCATTAAAAACAAAGAAATAAAATAATAATTATAAAAAATTATAAGAAAATATTTTTGAAGGTCAAAAAAAGAAATGTTCAAAAACTCAACTCAAGCAGATAACAAGAATTTCTTATTCCAATAAAAAAATTAAGGTCATGAAACTTTTGTAAAATTCACACTTTTAAGCAAAATAAAAAATTTTTTTTTTACATAGCATTTAAAAAAAAAAACTTTTACAAAAAAGTTTTGTGAAATTTGCCGAAATAACTGAAATTAATGAGTTTTAAATTTGTTTCTCATAAAAATTAAGAAAAAAAAAATTAAATGGTCAGCAGAGTTTTAATTTTTCATATTGGGTTATCAAAACCCCTTAGAGGCAGAATTAAATATTGTGTTTGAATAATATTTTGATTATCTATAATATTGAAAGCAAAAAAGATTAGAGATAAAATAGTAGAAAAGTTTAAACTGCAAACTGATTCATATTTTGTTAAATTATTGAGTAAACGTAAGTTGACATTTAAAATTCATTTAATTTCGAATTTCGGTATGAAAACTCCGAACGAATGTTGAAACTATACGAATGAAAGTTAAAGTATTGAATAACCTAATCCTTCCCTCCGTAAGACTTCGAAGAAAGTTAAGAGCGAGATAGGGGAAGAGAAAAAATTCTGTTGCTGTTTAGAATTGCAACCAATTCTATTTTCTGCAAGAATCTCATTTTTGTAATATGAATCAGTCGCTTATGTGAACACCTCTGTTTCGCATATTTAATCTATTTAGCAATTGACACCCTACACATGTTTTATCTCTTAGTCCGTAGCCCATCGAAGACAATGACAATTCACTAACTATAATGATACGATTTACAAGACCAAACTAGTCCGAAATCAATACGAATTATTGAAAATTTAACTAAAAAAAAGGAACATGGAAAAAAGGAACTGTTGAATTTAATTTAAAAAGTAAATTTGTATGTTGACATTATTTAATTAAAGAAAAATTAAAGATTACAAAATATTTTTCATTGAAAAACTTTGCACTAACAATTTTTAAAGAATAACTTTTTAATTATAATGTGAAATAATTGATTTATAATTTGAATTTTAAAAGTAATAAACTTTTATAAAAGTTACATCATCTTACTTATTTTGAATTTTACCTTTATATACTAACTTTTAACTGAAGTTGATGCAAAAATTGAAATTCATGTGAAAAGTTCAATAAAATATTAAAGGTGTACTTGAAACAGGGACGATGATGTTGTTTTTTATTTAAACATTAAAAAGTAATGTTAAAAACAGTAGAAACTCGATAAACGATATCAATAGTAAACGAATTTCATTCTCTTAAACGAAACGAATCAGCCTGAGTTTAATGAAAGTACGAATATATGAAAACATTGTTGGAAAACATATTTTTTCTAATTGCAGCGGTTGAAACATAATTTAGATGCATGGCAATACTGCAAAATTTATTGGTTTCAAAATTTTATAAATTGAAATAATAATAACAACTTCAATCAGCTGTCAATTTGTATGTTTTGACAAGCATAGCAGATTCAAAATTAAAAAATAAAATGAATTAGAAGTATTGCTGTTCATCTTCATTTCGTGGAGCACCAATTAATTACCTAGAATTGTAATTTCTATTTTCAAGCTGTCACATTTTGAACTACAATATATTTATATGCTAATTAGGTTTGAAGCGCTACATGTAAACAGTTATAAAATCTTGACATACGTTTAATTTCAGATTTTACCCTACATGTAAACAACGTTTAAACGATCTTTACCAGTTTGCTACGCTTACGCGAAATATTTTAAAGTTTTTTTATTTGACAAAAATATTATTATTTTTACACTTTAAATTGTGAAAAAAGAGAAGTAATTACATATTACATATTTTTATTTTTTAATAAAAGTGGGAATGTATTGTTAAAGTGCCAGTTTACCTCTTAAATTTTGTAAAACAGTAAAATCGGCTAAACAGCAGCGATAGTGTTTACGTGTGTGTGCATATTTGCAAGAAAACAAAAATTAGATTAACAAATTTACATACTTATACTACCAAAAATATGAAGAATATTTTAAAGTTTCAAGGATATTTCTCTATTTGCACTTAATCTTCTTAAATTTAAAGCATTATAATGTTAAATAATAGAATTTGGAATTTAAATAAGAATAAAAATATATGTTTTATGTGGATGCACTTATATAATATACATACTGGTATGGATGTACATATATACGTGCACATTATACTATATGACTGCATGCATGTGAAAATATCAGTATAAAGGTAAGTTGAAATTGCATATTGTTGATTATGATGATAAATAAAAACTTATTATTACATTAGGATTCTTAAACGCTTCGAATAGATGCATAAGAATTAATGTACATACCTGATAGTACATGTGATATACCTAGGTACCTAAATAAATAGTCGAAAAAGGTAATTATATACTTTTTGTACTTATATGCTTTTACTCACATATTATCCTAAAAATTGGACCACGACCTACATATTATGCACTTATTGTGTCGCAAACGGAGCGAATGTTAATTTTTTGGATTTCATTTGAAAAAGATTTTTAACAATTTGTTAAATAATAATGTCCTTATAGTTATAAAAACTGGGAGTAAAAATTGAATGAAATTACTTAGGATAGGACCGATTTGCTTTTTGAAAACTTTATGGAAGATGTAAAACTTACATACGTACATGTCATTATAAATTTTAATTGCAAGTGGCACGTAATCCGCATGTTGTGACTGGATGCCACATATTACAACTAGATATTAAAACTTGTATTGTAATTGAACTTAACAAATGATATAGATAGGTACTTATCTATCTAAATATACAATTTCAGGAAGTATCTTAATTATAATTATACTCAGTATTGCAATGCCTCACCCACAAAAATTATTCAGGGAAGATATACAATATTTCCTTTTATTTATATTCAATTTTATTATTTTACATTGAAAGTATACAAGTAACTTAAAATATACTAGTTTTTTAATTTTAAATAAAAACGATTTCCTTTCATTTTAGGTAAACTAACAATGGTAAATCAAAAGTAAAAATAGAATTCGAATGAAAAATCTTTGAATCACTCTACCTATAGTAACAACTTCCATTTTCAAAATACATTATACGGATTTAAGAAGGTTTCCATAATGCAAAATGTTTGAAAATAATTTTTTAGTTGCAGAATTTGGCTTGCGGGACCTATGCATAATGTATATGCATTTCAAAATACCGCATTGCATGTTAGCAATGTAGAAAAAAAATAAATTTTGCTATTACTGGGAAGTATTAAAAAAATATTTACCAAAGATTTATTGGCAAATAGTTTGAAAGTGAATTCACAATATAAGATTAATTTTAATAACTTATACCAGGGATGGCAAATAGGGTTTGATCAAAGTGCCAAAATTTGGGGAAATTTATTGTCACACTTTTTCCCGTGCCAGCACAGTACCAAGTACAGGTATGGTTAGGTAAATACAATATTATGACAAGTTGTAATAATATTTATTTATACATATTATAGTTCAAGGTATAAAAATTAATAAATACAGATAGAAAAAATATTAATTTAATTTTTTATCAGAAACTTTTTGTTTCATATTACTTGCAAGAGTTTTTATGTCGGGCTGGTACATTGTTGACTGCAGAGTAATACATGCTGCCGAATCTTCCTCTGTCAATCTGTTTCTAGTCTTTGAATGTACATGATTCAAAACGGAAAAAAGACTTTCGCAAGAGTAAGTGGAAGAGAAAATCGTTAACAACGAGATTGCTAATTTTTTGACAGAATAAAAGGTATCTGGCATACTATTCCAAGCTTCTAAAATTTTACTTTCCATGAAACATTCTGATTCCACATTTTGGGATCGATGGCTTTCTAAATCTTCAACAAGCTTCCGCATATTCACAAATTTATTTACCCAAATTGGATTGGATTGCAGATCAATAATTTGCATTTCTAAATTATCTAATCGCATCCAATTATGGAGGTTATTGTCACAATCTTGCATATCAAATAAATCTGGGTAATTAATAATTTTTAAATAATTTTCGATCCTTTTAAAATCGAGAAATCTTTGTGCAAACTGTTGCTTAATAGAAACAAGAATATTTGTAAATTCATAGGTGAAATTCCAATTAGTTTTTTCAAAAATGTGTATTTCATCAAAAAAAACTTTTAGTTTTCGGAAATATTCAAATTTTCCAGATTCAATATCTCTAATGAAAATATCTAGTTTAACTTCAAACCCCTTTATAAGTCCAAACATAACTTCAATCGTCTTCCCACGCCCTTGCAATTTTTTATTTAGAGAGTTTAAATGTAATGTTAAATCAGTGAAAAACATTAATTTTGTTAGCCATTCTATGTCATCAAGTTCTTTAAAATCGACCCTATTGTTTTCACGCAAAAACAGACGTATTTCATCCAAGCAGCTCACAAATCTTTCTAACGATATGGCCCGGCTCAGCCAACGCACGTTATTGCACATTAAAAGAGTGTCATATCCACAATCGACATCATTTAAAAGTTTTTTAAATTGTCTTTTGTGCATATCACGTGCAACAATAAAGTTTATAATTTTATTAACTTTTTCTGAAACTTCTTTTAAATCGCTAGTACCTACTTTTGCACAAAGCATTTGCTGGTGAATGATGCAATGAAATCTTATAATCGGATGTCCTACATGTTCTTGAAATAAATTAACAAACCCTGTTGCCGGACCAGTCATATTAGGTGCTCCATCCGTTGTAATAGAAACAATTTTTTTTACATTGAGATTAGGGCTTTTTAATTCATTAACAACAACTTCACAAATATCTGCACCTCTTGTTCTTTCCGGTATATTTGCTAATTTCAACAGCTCCTCGCGTATTTCATTCCCTTTTGAATAACGTGCAAAAATTGCTAATCGGGCAGACGAGTTTATGTCAGTTGTTTCATCCAAACAAATTGAGAAGAAATCGCAACTATTAATATCGGTTTGAAGTTGTTCGGAAATATTAATGCTCATTTTTAAAATTCTTTGTTTAATAGTATTTCTACTCATCTGTAATTCTTGTATTCTTTGGAGAATTTTTTCCTTATTATTAAAATCTTGGAACAAACTGGAAGCAGCTTTTAACATAAGTGTTTTTATAAACGTTCCGTCAGAAAATGGTTTCGAGTGTTTAGTAATCAAATAAGAAATTTCAAAACTCGCTTCTGTTATATTATTAGGAGTTTTCACAAATCTTGAAAACAAATTTGACTGTTTTTCAACATCTTTTAATCGTTGTGATATTAATTCTCTTCTTTCGGCAATATTTTTTTCAGAAATTTCCCTGTGATTAGTTTCAAAATGTCGTTTAATAGAAGATGTTCGACATACAATAACTTCGGAACACAGACCACAACGACTCTTATCTCCATGTTTAATAAAGCCGTAATCAATTGTCCAAGATGGTAAAAAACTGCGAACATCCTGTAGTTTTTGTTTTTTTATTGGTGACATGTTAATGGGGTAAATAATTAAATCTAAAATTACACGATAAAAATTATATATATTTAAATAATGTTTATTTGTTAAATTAGTTCATTACCGAAATCAAGTTTACAGCTGTAAAAATATTTAGCATTAGAAATTGGTCGATGTTTTTCATTCACTTTCTATTAGAAGTATTTTCAATTAAAAATAACGGTAAAAAACTAAACACGACACGTGTTGTGTAAACTCAGAAAAACAATTATGACATTCACTCTTGCTAACTTCGCTCCAAATGAAATATGGATAATTTTTCATACCCTAAAAACCACAACTTTTTTGTTTTAAAAAGAAAACTTCAAAGTTTACTATGTTTTTTCTTTTTTGAAATTTTTGAATACTCAATGCATTTTCAAAGCGGTTTGAATTTTTTTTCGTTTTCAATTTTTTTTCAATACTTTACTTAGTGAAGTGAAAAAAAACAAAAATAAAAAGAATATAACATTTGAATATGTTTGGTTTTGAATATTTGTCATTTCGCTATTAGGAAATTATCATTTTTAGGAAATTTTTCATTCAATCAATTTTTCAACGAGTTTTTAGATTTTTTATTAGAAAAAAATCTATATAAAAATTTGTCGAGGCACAACTATAACGTGCCATCAAATTTTTTTTCCGTGCCAAGTTTGGCACGCGTGCCCTTTAATTGCCATCCATGACTTATACAACCATTAAAATTTAAATCCAATTTGAAATACTTATTTAATAGATTTGTATACCTAATATAATTTCTGAAAGACGATGTATGTATGTGTTTTAAAACAGATTTTACTTATGATTATACTAAAATTTTCAAATATTACAAAAAGTTGTTATTCAGTTAATATTATTTTTGGGTTTTTAAAATGAATTGCATTTAGTTCGAAATTTTATTCCATTGGTTCTTTAATTAATACTAATGCTCAATCACTTTCTATAAGCAATACAATTGTAATTTTGTATTCATATATTTTTTTTCCTAAAAATTAAGTATATAAGTAGTTTTTCTGCGATTAAACCACTGGAAAAACAAACCTATAGAATTTAAATATAACCAATATAGCAATCTATATTTTTATTTAGAAAAGCGTATAAATTTTAAGGCCACAACTTATAAATTTCGATGTATAATGTTGTATATGTACAAAGTACCTTAAATTATTAATATTCAAAAAAAAAAGTATAACCAAACTGAATTTTAAAAAACAAATTTTAGCACAACTTTATGTAAAAAAGAAATAAATACAAACACATAATAAAATATTTCCGAATAATTTTTTGCATTTAAAATTCAAAAACGAAATTTTTAATAAAACGATAAAAAGAAGTAGAACATAGCAAAAAAAAAACTTTTGATTTATTGGCCCCGTTTGGTTACTAATAGTTCACTTGTGAATTGAACCCATAGTAAAAAATTGATATCAATTTCAATAAATTTTGTTTTTCAACTGTATAGTCTAAAAAAAAACTTTATTGTAACTATTTACTATTATTGTATTTTATTTAATTCTAAAATTTAAGAATTTTTGGAAAGAAAAAAATACTTGAAATGATAAAATTTCATACACCATAATTTTGAATCAAAAATTTGTATACAAAATTTTTATGCAAATCGATTAGATGCGATTGCAAAAGGAATAATAATAAAATTTAGAATTTTATGAATGAATTCAGTTTTCCACTTATATCCAGCTGTTAAAGTCAGAAAATTTATATAAATTAAGGACTATATTAAGTAATATGTGCAAATATTAATAAACAATAATTTTAAACCCCGAAAGGTCGGTTTACAGTCCAAAAGTAAATTCTGAGGCTGAATTTCAAAGTCCTTTAAATGTTATGCTCTAAATAATTAAAAAAAAAAAATTACATTTACGTTCACAATTATCGTGAATTATGCAAAGGCAGAAAAGTTGTAATTTTATTTCTCTACTTTAAATGATCAATAAAGTGAATGATCACTCATATCTTCTAAGACCAAATGATATGATATTATTTAAAAAGTTTTAATTTTCAAAATAAAACAGATTTAAACTCAGGGATTTCGTAAAAAAAAAATTTATAAAATGTTAGGCTTGATGGTTAAATTTTCTTACTCTTCAAATCAATCGATATTTTTAATTATTTTTTTTTTTTCAATTTTACGATAGGTTTGATGGAATCAAAATTTAAGAATTCTAAAATTGTATCTGATCTGTTTTCGAAATCTGATATCAAACTAAATATGATGGAAAAAATTCTAAAAATATGGCAAAACTAAACTTTTTTTTTAAAACCTTGGCCCGATTAGTTGATTTTTTTTCCAATTTCATATATCAGTTTATACAGGGTGAGTCAGTAATCAGTGACCACATACATATGTATGCTATCAAAAACTTTTTATTTATTTTACACTCTTACTGAGGTAACGGAATTTTGAACAATATTTGAATTCATTTTGAACACTACATTGCGTCAATCTGTGTACATAACTCTATGGCTAAGAAAGTCAAGATAGTTGATATTTATATTATATCAAAATTATTAAAGCAACATTTTAATCCTATTTGTATTTCCTTATGAATTTCAAATTAGTGTTGACACTATTTTTTTATAAACAAAGTTTCTTAAGCTTTAATTTTTTCTACCGGTGTTATTACAGAACATGATTAACACATGAAAAATTACCTTTTCAATATTTTATAAATAAAGGATCCTTAAAATAAATTTTATATATTAAATAATTAAACAAGAAAAGGAATTAATTTTAAACACAGTGCATATGTACGCATTCTTGTTAAATTTATTACAAGGATTAATTTTTGTTCTACTGATGTGTTAAATCTGAAATTTGTATGAATATGTGTACACCATAATGTGCATAATATGAGGTAAATTTGTATGATACAAATGTGATTGTATAATATTAAAAAAATTTATATCATAGTATAATACTTGAGGTATGCTTTAATATCCATCAAAGAACCCTACCTTTTCACATACAATAAGTTTATAAAGTGTATTGGATATTATTTATTACCGCACATTCTCGTACATTATTAATTTATTTATAAGGTTGTATAGTTATTTAAGATCTAACATTAAATAAATGCATATACATAGTTAATTTTAAAATACCGTATTATGACGATAAGCATGGATGTAATAATGAAAGTGCATTATTATGTTTATTAAAAGATGTAAAATTAATTCTAAAGGAAATTCCTTTGATTTTATGAAATGAAATATGTGATGTGTATACATTTTGCTGCTTATAGCTATATTATTGTAGATATAAAACAAAAGATTATTAAAAGAAAATTTAAATTTTAATTAGAGTTGTCATATTATGAGTTTTTTCTACTTTGTTTCATATTATTTTATAGTTTGATATAAAAAATGATTATGATGTATAACAGTTTATTTCTTAATCTTTATTTTAATATAGAATGAAACGGAACGATATGGTAGAAATTTTAGCTTTAGCAACTCAAGTATGTATTAATTTGTATTTTCATTCAAAACACATTTTCATAGTATTCAGTTCATCCTTCTATAACTGCCAATTGGCATATGATACGCAATATTAAAACTGATACCAATTTCATTTAATTCTTCACCAAATAACCTATTAAAATAAATTTATTTATCAATATTTGGAATAGCTGCTTTAAAACTATCATAATAATACTGCAGAAACTGTATATTTATATAATTCGCATTACATCCGATTTATCCCGCTGTTCCGCTTATACTCATGTTAGTTTAGATTTTATTCATGCTCGAAATTTTCCAAATATGAAATTCGAACGTTTAGGTATTTATTGTTCCAATTAAACTTTGGATCACAAAAATTTTAGCAGACTTTTATATTCTTAAGTGCGTTGAGATGTTGCTTTTGACGTTAAACAGCACTGAGAAAATAACTGACATGCTAAATTTGTTTTTTTAGCAATAATGCTATAATATAAGTATGTACTTTTATAAATTGAATAACTTTGCACAATATTATTATCTGCACAAATTAAAAACAAAAAGAAAACTAAAAACTTTTAATGGAAAATTTTTAAAAATCTTTCAAGTTTTTTTTTTAAATTTTTTCAAGATTTCAAGATTTTATCATACTTAAAATGCAATTAAAATTAAATTTTGTTTTTGTAAAATTATAAAAAGTTTTATTACAAAATTTTCATTACCATAATTTAAAATACAAAAATTCTTATTAACTTCTTAAAAAGTTTAGAGTGTGGGTGAACAAAATGAAGACACCTACAAAAAATAATCAAATTAAAATTTTATTTTTTATAAAACATTTGGTTCTATATATTTTTTATAAATTTGAAATTAGATTTTAAAGATGTGGTGAAAATGTTAAAATTATTGGAGCATAATAAATAATGTATTAAATCCATCACATGATCAAGAAGATCAAAACGTTAAACTTATAACTAATAAATTTGAATCAAACCAATTGGTTGCAAAATAGGACTTTCACCTTGAGCAAGCAAAAATTTTTTTTTTGAAAAACAATTTTCTACTTGCATTACTATTATAAATACTCACACTTTTCGGAAAATAAATAAAAATTAAAAGATTTACCGTAATGATCGAATTGCACGGTTAATAATATACTTGAGTTGAGATAAATAATTATATTTTCGGTATAAAGACATTTTATCTTTATTGTTTAGCTTTTAAAAATTTCGAAAATTTTGTTAACTTTACAAGGCGATAACTTGAAAGACGGAGGATTATAATATTTTGCAGTACAATGTATAAAAGAAAAAGGGGTAGTTGATAACAAGTTTGCGTTCGTGGAAATTAAAACTGCGAAAGGTTGGAAAATAAAAATTTATAAGTTTCTTACCTATTTCTATTTGTAAAAGACCTATTTGTAAACAATATCTTTAAGCTATTATTTCTTAGTTATTGAAAGTGATATCAAAGAATAACAGATTAGTCTACATGGTTAAAATAAGGAGGAAAAAAGTACGAAATGTTATTCGATTTTT